ACTCCTGCTGTCCTCTAGACACTGGGGCCATTGTGGATGTGTCTGGGAAGCCCTACTCTCACTGCCCTGCCTTCTCCCTCCCCCTAGTTTCCAGGAGAGAGGGCAGGAGGTTTAATGAAGTTCAGAGATTTCCCAAGACAAGAAGTGGATTCATCAGGTTCTCGGGTAGGTATTTGTCAAGGGACAAATGGTTTAAAAAATGGAAGAAAGCAAGATTCTTAACAAGCCCTTTGTTTGATTTTATATATGTAAACTTTGTTCTCCTAGTACCTGGATCCTGCTGCTCCTTCTACAGCCACTACCCTGCCATTTTTCAACCAATCTGTTAGACCCTGACCACTTCTGATTTTTTTTTTTTTTGAACACTCTAAATCTCTATTATACTGTGCCCCTTGCCAGGATTTTTCCATTTCGGGATAGAAAAAAAATCCCCAAGCCCACCAAAACCCTGTGGGTTGGTTTCCTGTCCAGCTGGCTTGCTGTTCCCCAGGATTTTATTCCCATCATCAAAGTGGCTTGACAGACCAAGAACAAACCTCTGGCTCACCCTGAATTCACAGTGTACCATTTCCAAGTCAGAACAAACATCAAGTAACAGTGAGAGAGAAAGGGAACAAAATTATTTTCCTGACCTAGAAGCCAGTTCAGAGTGAGGCCCAATTCTGACTCCAGACAGGGATGTTATGTGGCTGTGGCTGTGGCTGTGGCCATCCTTGAGGGTAGAGCCATGAAGAGTGGACTCCAAGCCAGAATTTCTGTCTGAGTTGGTCTCAAAGGAAAAGCCATAGATGGACTCCTTTCTGGCCCCAGATCTCTGTTTCCTGGAATCAAAAGCAGCAGCATTTGAGGGAGCATCCCACAATCTCATTGACTACATCAGACTTGGCCCAGAGCCTTTCCATTATGGGGGCAATCAGAGTGGTCCTGAAGTGTTCCCAGGAGACCAGCAAGGCCACCAGCCCATGCCAGGTTCAAAAAAGGATGCAGAAACACTTTAGCCAGGCAGGGGGCTCTAAAGATTGCCAACCTTTCCTCTATTCATTTAGAAATTCTAAAAAATATATGAACTTAGCTAAAATCTCATAGAAGCTAGGCTCCTCATCAGAGTTGAAAGTCAAACCAGCTTCCCCCAGATTTCCCTTCATGGTTCTGTATGGCTCTATCAACAGAAAAACATCGGAGAGGCTATGATTCTGAGGCCACATGGGAGCAGTCAGTGCAATTTTTACACTACGGAGCACCCAGTTAGCACGAAGTAGCCCATCTTCTGAAGGCCTGGCCTGCCTTATTCTTGTTCCTATTTTTCAGCACATTCTCTATTCTTCCCATCCTGATCTTCCCGGGTCCATAGACAGGCCAGACTAATTCCTTCCCATATCTATTGCCCCCTCTCAAAATGCCCTTCCTGATCAACTTTGTCTAGCTAAAATCTTTCTATCCTTCACAGCTCAGTTGGAATTACATCTTTATTAACCTTTCCCATTTCTCCAATCCACCCTGATATTCTTTCTCTTCACTCCTTACATCCTGTCACAAAGCTTGACCTTATTCTTGTCTTCATAAATGGACAGAATTCTCTGAGATCAGAAATCAACTCATGGACCTCACTTCCCAGCACTTAGCACAAAGCTAGATGCTCAGGGGATTCTCTCTGCTATCCACAGGCCACTTACTCAGCCCTGTGCTAGCTATTTGATGATTCATTAACCCCTAGCATTGGCTTTTCTCACTTTGTTTCTTGAGTGGCCCTTTATTTGGCAGAGAGAAGTCCTACATGTTAAATGGTAGAAATGCCAGAATTGCAAATTATGTCATTAAAGAAATTTTCATAAACTGTGGGCCTTTCATAGGGAGTAGAAGAATAAGGACAGGGAGTTAGGATTGAGAGACCTGGGAAAAACTAGATAGAAACAAAAGATAGGGGTAGGATTCGGAATAAAAGTTCCAAATAGATAAAAGTTTTAAGCAACAATAAGAAAAAAATGAAACTGTAAAGTTCTACAAGAAAATATGGGAAAATTCTGTGTATATACATATGTATAGATATGGATATGATGGATATGGATATAGAGAATTTTGAAGAAAGTTTAGACTTTGTAAGCATGATATGAAACCCAGGGGACAGAAATAAAAATACCAATATATTTGGCTGTATAGAACTAAATGTTTTTGAATTATAAAAACTATAAAGTTGAAAGACAAAACTGCAAAAATATTTGTAGTACATATGACAAAGAGTAGATTTCCTTAATATATACAGCAAGCTCCTACAAATCAACGAGAAGACCACCACCAACATAACAGACAGGGAATTGAATACATTTTACAGAAAAAGAAGTTCAAGTACCTTTTTTGAAAAGCATATAAAGTGATGATCAACTTCACTTATAACAAAATAGTTGCAACTTAAAATGATGAGATAATGTTTTTTTCACTTGGTAAAAGTAAAAAAGTTTAATAGTGCACTGTGTTGGTCAGGTTGTGGGAGACTAGAATTCTTACATGCTGTTGGTAAGAGTATGAATTGGTTACAGTCCCTTTGGAGAACATCTTATTAAAATCGATCATAATTTTATATGTGCAAATATCTTGATTCATCCCTTCAGCTTCTAGGAATTTCTCCCCTGAGTACTCATTTATATGCACAAAACTGATGTACATATACATTCTTTATTGTATTTAGCAAAGTATCATAAACTAAATTATTTCAAAAGGGGATTGGTACCTCCATGACACAGAGCAGTCTACAGTCTTTTAAAAATGAGGCAAATCTCTGTTTTTAATGGAATGATATCGAATATATATAAGTGGAAAAAAGTAATGCCTAGAACTTATATATAAGAAACTACTATTTTTTTAAATTTATTTATGATAGTCACAGAGAGAGAGAGAGAGAGGCAGAGACATAGGCAGAGGGAGAAGCAGGCTCCATGCACCGGGAGCCCGACGTGGGATTCGATGACGGGTCTCCAGGATCGCGCCCTGGGCCAAAGGCAGGCGCCAAACCGCTGCGCCATCCAGGGATCCCATAAACTACTATTTTTATAAAAATAAACAAGTAGGTAGCTATAGACAGATGCTTGTAAATGAACAGAATGTGCCTAAAAGACATACTGAGTAATAATGTGGTTCCTTCCGGGGAACAGAATATGAGTAGAGGACAGTGGATGGCAAAGAACTTAATTTTCACTGCATGCCCTTTGGTACTGACTTATTTTTTTTTTAATTTGTTTTTTTTTAATTTAGTTATGATAGTCACAGAGAGAGAGAGAGGCAGAGACACAGGCAAAGGGAGAAGCAGACTCCATGCACCGGGAGCCCGATGTGGGATTCGATCCCGGGTCTCCTGGATCGCGCCCTGGGCCAAAGGCAGGCGCCAAACCGCTGCGCCACCCAGGGATCCCGGTACTGACTTATTTTTTTACCATGTGCACATTTATCTATTTTTTAAAGCTAACTTTTAAAAAAGAACTAGGTGGGGACGCCTGGGTGGCTCAGTGGTTGAGCATCTGTCTTCAGCTCAAGGCATGATCCCAGTCTGGGGATGGAGTCCCGCATTTGGCATCCTGTGAGAAGCCTGCTTCTCCCTCTGCCTGTCTCTGCTGTGTGCCTCTCATGAATAAATCAATAAAATCTTAAAAAAAAAAAAAAAAAAGAATGAGGTGCAGTATGAAATTAGGCCAAGCATGAGGTATACATATAAACCAGGAATCATGGTAGGGTAGGAGTTGAAGCAAGCTGATAACTATAGAGGAAGCAAGTCAGTAGGACATAAATGAGACAGGTCAGCCACAGAGAGACTTTGACACAAGACAGTTTTAAGTCAGAAGTATCTGATTCGCTTTTCATGTGAGAGCATATGCCAGCCCTAGAATATGGGCAGTTCAGGCTAGGGTAGGAATAAACTTTAGAGAAAGGATAAAACTGTTAAAATGCAGAGAGTGAGGAGGATGGGTTTAGCAGTCAAGTAAATGCGATTTCCCTAGCCAGAACACTTGTGTCGTTCCCTAATCTCCGGTTGGAAGCAGACAAGGGCAGGGAACGAACACTGCGGGAGTGTCTGCCATGGCCCAGCAGTGAGGTGGGCCTTCTGGTTGCCCTGCCACATCCGAAGCTCACAGTGACTCACTACGCAGTGATTAGTGTTCCCATTGTACAAGTCAGGAATATGACTCAGGTCACAGAAATAGGCGGCAAAGCCAATATTCAAACCCAGATCTGTCCCTTCTCTTTTTACTACTTGTACTGAATTATTAGTACACCAAGGAGAGTGGGGCCTTTCTTCATGGTCAGTCTGAACTGAGGCTCAGAATCAGGGGACCTTCAGCAGCACTGTTCTCAGAAGAAAGTCTTCATTCTTCCTTTTTTATCCGGACCCCTAAATCCAAGCCCACTTACCTTTCCCAGCGTATGGTTCAAAGAGTAAAGTGAACTCCATTTATTGAAAGAGAAAAAAATTCCATTTGCCAGGAAAGGAATGTGTGTCGCAGTGTTTGTTAGTGCTTCCGTGTGTTTGTTTTTCAGCTGGTTATTTTAAGTCCATAGGTCTGGTTTGTCCTATGGGAGTGCAGTTCTCCTTTCTCCAAAATGCTAAGTCAGCGATACTTGTAACCAATGATTCTTTCCCCCCAGATTTGTCCACTAAACAGGAAAAATAATAGAATATAACTCCCCCTGCCAATCTCCTTGTTTTCAAATAACTGGGATAGGATACTGGATTTTGTTTGTTTTTAGTTTGTTTTATTTGGAACCAGAGCATAGAGTTTTTTATCTGTTTTGTGTATGCATATCCCCAACCTCCACCATATGCTCTAGGATTTCATTTCCTCATTTGACTTACTGACGTGTTTTTACTATGGGTGATTAAATGTCTAAAAGCATTTGCCATGAAGCCCTAGACCTCATGATAGGCCTATGAGAAAATACCTTTTTCTCTTCTGTGTGCCCCAGACATCAGGGAGAAAAAATATCAATTTATCTCCTGTTCTTTACCTTTCTAGGCAAAATCCATGTTTGGTGACCAGAGCTGTATATATTGACATTCTCTTCCTGTTGACTCGCTGCCTTGACAAACTCACAAAAGGCAACCAGCCAGGTATGATTCATAGTTATATCATATTTTGGAATGTTGTTGGATCTTTGAAATACAGGTGGGGCTTATAGTTCTACCACACACTGCCCCCAGCTTTGACTTTTGTCAAACTAACCACACATCAAAATTAAGCGTGGTATCATATGGTTCCCTCATAGAAGCTTCTCAAGGAAAAGTCTTGTTGAATGGGAAGTTTTTCGTTTATTTTCTATTTGGTCTTTCAGGAGACAGTGTGGACTCTATTCAGATATCCCGTGTGTTTCAGAGACCTTGGCTTTTTCCCCTTCCATTGAATTTTCTTTGAAAGTTCATAAATTTCAACAACTGAGAGTCTATGCTTCATTTCGTGGAGCTAAGTTGGGCTCATTTGATCCTGGAGTCTGAATACCTGAGACACTGTCCCAATCTACCCATTACTGCCTTAAGATGTGTTCCTTGGTCATATATGTTTCTATCAGGCGCCAGATCCATATACAATTGTTCTGTTTTAATCATGATTCAGAGTGGTTTTCTTAAAACGGAGAAGGGCAACTCCAAATAAAAAAAAATTTTTTTTGATGTGTTTATATAAGAGGCTGCAGGAAGTGCTGTACATGAGTTCCAGGCCACAGACTGAAACTGATTTTCATCAACACAAACTGGAATGCAGGGTAATGAGCCTGCAACTGGTTAAAATCAGCCTCTTCTAATTGATTAGGCCTGTCTAAAGGAGGCTACAATTACAAAGTCACATTCTGAGTACAAGCAGGCCAGGCCTTTCCTCTGTTAAATTTAGTCTGTCAATGATTTGTTGTCTTCAGTAAATATATTCAGGCTGTCAGAGTCCGGCTCTGTCCATATGGAACCCTGTTCCCAAATTCAAACCAATTTAAAGTGCTTTGAGGGGGAGGTGCGAAACCACCTCACCCGGATCAGTGTATATTAGCCCACAAAGCCCCTGTGGCCATGCAGAGGTAAGAAGAACACGCCTGGATTTTCATCAGCTCCATATCCCTGCATAGGGGTAGCTATTGTATCCATTTGATGGAATAGGATCATATAGTTTTATAGCTATAAACCAGTCCTAGTTTATGCCTCTTGTCCCAGCATAATTATTAATAGTGCCCCCCCCTTCACTCTTGAAAGTGTCCAGGTTTGTAGCAGAAATTATAGATCACCCTCTCTGTAAGGGACCTCAGGGTTGCACCACCTTATTTTACACTTGAACTAACTGGGGTACAGAGATTATAAATCAGATGGTACCAAGTAAGTTGTTCCTGGCTTCCTTTAGTTTTGTATTTCAGTTCCAGATTCCATATAGCTTTACAGTACTTCTCTGCTTAGTAGCTGAAGGACTTTGGCCACGAAAGAATTGCTCATGACTAATTAGTCCAGCCTTTGCGATCCTTTTGGAGTTGTGTGGTTGATTGTAATCATCAGTTTATTTGAATTAAGTTTCTCCCCTCCCCCTTTTTTTTTTAAGATTTTATTTATTTATTTATTGAGAGAGAGAGAGAGAGATCACACATAAGTCGGGGGAGGGAGGTGCTGAGGGAGAGGGAGGAACTGAGGGAGAGAGAGAGGCCTATACAGGGCTCCATCCCAGGACCCCAGGATCATGACCTGAGCTGAAGGCAGACACATAACTGATTGAACCACCCAGGTGCCCCTGAACTAAGTTTCTCTTAATGTATTAGTACCTTTATTCCTTGTGCAGGGGGGTTCACCCTTGAATGTTGTGGGTTTCCCTTCTCTGTTCTCCAACTGCCTGCCCTTTACTGATGATTGGGCTCCTCCATGAATGTGTTGGTCTTTTTGAACTATCCTTTGCTCCAAAGTCTTGTGTTATATAAGAATTTGTATCCCAGTTAAATGTGGTCAACAGTTGTCGTTTATTTTATGCAGCAGTATTGTACTTGCATCAATGCATCATTCCTCTGAACAAATTAGTTACTCTGCAGAGTAGGATGCAACAGGGTGGGTGTTCTGCCTTTGTTCTAGTATGACAGCCATCGCTCTAAATATTTTATCCTGCACTGCCCAGTATGGCAGTCACTAGCCAGCCACATGTGACTCCTAAGCACTTGGGATGTTGCCGATCCAAATGGGAATGTTTCATAAGAATAAAATACACATCCATCTTCAAAGAGTTTGTATGAAAAAAGAATGCAAAATTTCTCATTTACTTTATATTGATTACATCTTGGAATAATAATATTTTTGATATATTGGATTAAATTAGATAAATTATTAAAATTAATTTCACCTGTTTCTTTTTACTTTAAAAAATGTGGCTGCTAGAAAATCAAAAATTGCATATATGGCTCCTATTATATTCCTATCAGACAGGTAAGGATTTTATCCAGTCCCTTGGAGTTTGCCCACATAAGCCACAGATGTGTGTGTATATATGCATGTCTATCTGTATGAATGTTATATAATCATATCATATATCCACACAAACAGTGGTAACAAATTTTCCTCCTTTGAGGATGGAACTGGATATTTAGAACTAACCAAATGCCAAATACAATGGCAATTAAGATGGATGGCACTGTTGAGGAAAAAAATGAACTGTGAACTTAAAGTAATAAAATCTATTCTTATGTGTTTCATAAATTGTTTCTGAAGGCAGTTTGAGCAATAGCCAAACATGTTCCCAAAGCGATCACTTACTGAGATGTGTAGACTTCAATATGATTTCAAAATAATGTCATGACATTATAATGTGTTACCTTGCAAGTACCTTGAAAGAATGAATAGTGCCTTAGATTCTTTGCCCCTGGGCGGCCCCGGTGGTTCAGTGGTTTAGCGCCGCCTTCGGTCCAGGGTGTGATCCTGGAGACCCGGGATCGGGTCCCACGTCGGGCTCCCTGTATGGAGCCTGCTTCTCCCTCTGCCAGTGTTTCTGCCTCTCTCTTTCTCTCTCTGTCTCTGTGTCTCTCATGAATAAATAAATAATTTTTTAAAAAAAGATTCTTTGCCCCTCAGCTAAGCACATAGCAAGCCATCATTAAATGGGTTATGAACTGAGTGAAATGCAGAGTTTTCCTCAGTTTTTAGAATAGTAACAGTTGTCATCAAGATACAAAAGTCTTATTGAAATTCATGTATCTATCAGATGTAAATTCATTTTCTAAATTCAAATGGTATGTTGATATCATGTTACGTGTTCATATCATGTCTATAAATGTGCACGTACTTCCATTATTAGCTCACAAAGCTCAGAGTAGGTAATATCATTTAGGCTCTGAAGCCATAGCCCTGGGTTTGAATCCCAGATCTGCCATTTAGCTTTGTGACCTTAGGCAAGTCATTGAATCTCTTGGAGACAATTTTTCTCAATTGTAATTGGGGGTGATAACAGGATCTGTATCTTAGAGTGGTTGTTCACAAATTTATGTACATTCCTATATAAAGAATGTGCTTTGCATCACACAGAATAAGTGCTCAATAAATATAAGATATTGTTATATTATCATGATCATCATTATCATTAGCTGGAAACATGCATCTAATCCAGTCCCCTGCAGCCCCTCACATTCACAGTTCTCTTATTTTAAACATCTTCAGGAAAGAAGAAATGCCTACTTTCCTAGGAAAATACTGAAACATGGCATAGCCATCATAGAATGTCAGAAAATTGGGCAGCCCAGGTGGCTCAGGGGTTTAGTGCCGCCTTCAGCCCAGGGTGTGTGGTCCTGGAGACCCGGGATCAAAGTCCCGTGTCGGGCTTCCTGTGTGGAGCCTGCTTCTCCCTCTGCCTGTGTCTGTGCCTCTCTCTCTCTCATTAATAAATAAATAAAATCGTAAAAAAAAAAAAAAAGAGTGTCAGAAAATCCACTTGATTAAGGATGCTCCTGCCCCTCTGATTGATTCCAAAAAAGTATCATTTTTTTGTTGCTCATTTATTTTTTCATTCATCAGAAATGACATGTTAATATCAGACAGATTGAATGCCTATAGCTAGAGATACGTATACATGTGTTTTAGGCTTATAAGTAGGTACAGTAAGGGATTATAGGTGCTATAAAAAGAGTCTTTATAGGATTCATTGGAGGCACCCAAGAATGGAAGTACATTTCTATTTGGGAAGATAGGAGGGCTTCATAGAAAAGAAATGGTTGAGCTGAGTTTTGAGGGAAAGTAGAGATTGACCATATGTGCAAGGTGAAGGTAGGCATTATAGATAGAGGGAGAAGCATGGCCAGAGCCACAGAGGTACAAGTCAGCACAGCCTTCACAGAGCTAGGACAGTGACCCGAGTGTCATGATGGAAATGAGGCTGCAGAAGCAAGAACTCAATCATGAAGGAACTCACAGGCTAATCGAAGAGCTTGTACTTGACCTTGTGGACAAAGGAGAATCCTTTTGAAGGACATTAGTGTCACATTGTGTGGTTTTTAAGACAAGGTGACATTTCCTTCTATGCTCTCATCCTTATGAACTAAGTTCCAATTGTCACCAAGAAAGAATATAACTGAAAAGCCATTCATGGAATGTCAGGGGGATTTGTCCAGTCATTGTGATCATCAGCATTGGGGCTCTGGGAAGTGGGAGTGGGGAGCAGAGAACTAGACTGAACGTAAAGGCAATATCGTGCTAAAAGTAGTTGTCTTGGAATGGTGCCATGAGGGGGGTTTCCTCCTCTTATTTCCATTTTACAAATCTTAAACACCATAATTCTGGTTTATTCATAGGGGAGTATATATTTGTATTTCAACAGTCAATGTATCTAACTATGAATCTTGAAGGTGATTAATTATTTCCAAAAGGAATGAAGTAGTATCCATTTCAGGGAAACTTTGGTTGGAGGAGGATCTGTCCATCTCGCAAACACTATTCGATACATGACCTTGGAAGGCTATTTCCACCCCTACATTGTCTCAGAACCACGTTGAGAGGCTGGGGGCATACACAAGGAGGAGAACCAGTGCAGGGGAAAGGCAGGGAAGATGATTAGAAAAGCTTCAGATAATGATGTGTTTTGTGTGATTCAGACTTTTATCTTAGTGCTTCCCCAT